TGATGTGTACATAAACCCTTTCAGGGTCCAAGGCCAAAATCTGAAGTGGTGCTCCAGTGTCCCAAGAAATTTTGAAAAAAAAAAATAAAAAAAATTATTTTTTTCTTACAGAATTAAAGAGCCATATTTTTGTGAAGGTAATAAGACAAAAAAAAAATCTGATCAGTACTTACCGAGATACAGTGCCAAGAAGTGTCAAAAATGATGTTGTTGGCGGCAACATCGACGAATTCCACCATACGAGGCATTACATTATTTTTGTGGTTTTTAGTTGTTCTTTTCTTTTCTTTTCCATTTTTTTTCTATTCCTACTAACATTTGGGGCCGAGAGACCAATACTGTAATATAATGTATCATATAAACTTCACCTGTATGGAACACAATACCGCACTAAGTTATTATTATATTATTTGTGTTTACCAACTGTGTTTATTACAATAAACATGCACAAATATTGTGTAATACTAATTTTCTATCATATATTACATATTTTACAATCACGGGACAAGGTTTTAAAACTGCTTGGAGCTTGTGAACTCCTTGAAACAAGGCACCATGCACAGAGGCACCTTACATTTCCTCACACATAAACCCGAGTGTCTTTGCGTCTTTGTTTGGCCATCAGTCTGTTTGTGGCACAGACAATGCATCCTCTTCTGAGCAAATTTACTTCTATTTGAAGGAAGTTCGTATTAATGAAATGATCACCTTCTCTCCTCAAACCTTGGAATATCCTGAGGAATTCGAGGAGGACCAAGTTGTATAGCAGGTGTTTGTTTACCTGGTACTTCATTAAAGTTTCTTGACACAGACAGAACAAAATTCACCATACGGTGGTCTGTTGCCAGTCTTTATTTGGTACATATTATATGCCATTGAGCAATTGAAATGTCCATGAGATTGGAAAGAAAAGTTTCATGTACCACTTTTACTCTAGGAACACAGTCAACAAAACCCAATCTGACATGTCACACTTGTCTACGCAAGCGCATGTTTTGTTTATAATCAATCACTGACAAACTGTTTTCGAATATCGTGCATTATCACTCTTATCGATCACTTTGCCACTGTCTTGCATTTCATTACAGTGAAAGAGGTTGTCAACAATGTGACATCTCGTTTGTCATGCCACCTAATGCCATGATGTCTTGGCACTAACACCTGCACGCATCACCACGAGCACCTGCGTTGAGCCTGGCAATGTTTAACGATTAGAACGCACTGTGCCACACACACATCTTCTTGTCACTAATGCATGAATCACTGAGTAATGGCTGTGTACCAGTTACGGTATATAAATGTATGCCCCTTACCAAGATATAGGTGCCATCATGTTTCTCACTAACGTCACCTGGATACCCATTAACATCTTGGATCTTTCAATGATTTTACTACCGCGTGTATACAACAATATCCCAACACAGGCGCCACTGTCACAATCACAGAGTACAAACAGTTTTAAACCAATCGTTTCCCTCTTGCTCGGTATATACTGCTTGAAATGACAGTCCTAACCTTTGTACAAAATCAAAGACTCGTCAATTTCCAAGATTCTTGAATGGATAAAAGTATATGCTGAACTTTTTGTTTGATGATACATGAAAACATTTCTAATCTTGTATAACCGTCACTTCTGCAAGGCCTCAGGGTTTTTTACAGAGAAGTCAACTACGTAAGAGTAAGCTAAACCTGTTCACTGTTATGAGATCATTCACCTTAAGACCGGGTAGAAATTAGCCGATCTGTGGACCAGTATGCTTTCATATTATGCTTATAACGTGAGGCAAAGCATTATTGTTGCAAAAAGCAATACATTTCTGCAACAGTCGTCTCTTTCCACCTGTGTAGTCTTGACTGTGGTGATAAGATCCCGTATTTGCCATGGTGTACTCAAATACTTATTACTTTCCCTGACAATAATTTCCATCAATGGCTGGTCAAAGAATAAATCTAAGAATTCCAGTTCATTGGCCTGTTTTTCCAAGGGACAATAGGTAGAATTTCCACTTTGAGAATCATCAAAGTGTGAGCTTGGGAACAACATTGGGAATTTTGCTGCCAATCCCACATACGGTTTGCTGGTGGATACTGACATCATAGGGCAGGTTGTGCGGGTGTTGTGGTTGAGGTGGTCAGGTGGCTGGCGCCCGCTTTGCTCTCTGAACTGACGAGTCAGAGCAGCGTGGGTCCCAGCGTGGCCTCGTGAGTCACGCATTGGGCGTGCCACTTAACCATCACCATCTACACCATCCACTGATGCCTGTGGTCTAACCATCCAATGAGCCACATCATCTCACTATCACTACCTAAAACAGGTTGTTGGGCCACGGGATGTACCCGGGATGTTCTCTTTCCGTCCCCTGGGCACAGCATAGGGATACACTACCGAAGCGCAGCGGCGGCGAACATACCGACGCTTCACTGGTGAGAAATATGATTCCTCCAATCACTACTCTTATTGATCGTTGGAGCGGCAATAAAATCACAGTCCACGTCACTATCATCATCATTACTGAAGTCCAAGGCCTGGCCACGCGAAAATAGTAGTTTTCTCTTGCGATGAGGAACAACTGACCGGGGTGGGGTCACGAGTGCCCACCCAGAGGTAGAAGGTTGAGGATCGTCAGGGTTTTCCCGCACTTTTATCGATATCCTGGTATTCTTTTCAGTCATAACTGTCAAAGCCGTAGAATTCGTTTCATTTCCACTTCCATCAATGTCAGAACTATCAGATAGGAAAAGGAGAGTCCCAATTTTTCCGGGGAGTGAGGCTGGACTTTGCGACGAGGCATGGTGAACAAGGGTAACTGAGCCGGGGTTCCCAAATGCTTGCGGGCGCCTAAGATTTTTTGTTTATGGCGCACAACCCACCAGGCAGACCGTTCTCTCACATGTAGGCCTATGACGTTTTCACGCAAAATTTTGACGGCGCCTAAATTTGGCGTTGATCTACCGGTTGGACACTCACGTAAAGCCATTGTTTTTCAACGGGAAAAACGACCCTAAAAAGGGGTTTAATTTGACTACAAATTCTCATTTGAATGGGACACCCTGCTCTTTTTTTCCCATCATAATTTCCAAAGGGAGAGTGATACCCATGGTTAGTATTTTCACTGCAACAGGGTCTTGACTGATGATGTTCCAACTTATGAGGTTCCACATTAATGATGGTGGCATTTTTGGAACCAATTAATAATTGTGAATAACTTCTAGATAGTTGGTAGACAGCAACTGCCCAGGGAGGTACTGTCCTGCCAAGTGAGTATGAAACAGAAACCTGTGATTGTTTTACATGATGGTAGGATTGCTGTTTTTTTTTTTTGTCTCATACACATGCAAAATTTCAGGTAAGTCTTGATACTTCTACTTACACTTAGGTCACACTACACATGCATGTACAGGCATATATATACAAACCCCTCTTGGTTTTTTCTATTTTCTTTCTAGCTCCCCCTCTTGTTTATTTCTGCTTATCTCCATGGGGAAGTAGAACAGAATTCTTCCCTTGTAAGCCATGCATGTTGTAAGAGGCGACTAAAATGCCGGAAGCAGAAAGATCCTTTTCCTATGTAGCTCCTAGATTGTTTAACAGGTTGCCAGTGTCTGTTCAGAGTCAGGAATTTCATCATGCTTTCAAGTCTCAAATTGAAAGCACATCTTTTTTCCAGAGCAAATGATAATGATCATACTGTCACTCTTGAAAATAAAATTTTGGTATTTTTTCATTATTTTTGTTGTATTTCTGTGTGTGTGTGTGTGTGTGTGTGGTGTGTGTGTGTGTGTGTGTGTGTGTGTGTGTTGTGTGTGTGTGTGTGTGCGCGCGCGTGTGTGCATGCGTGTGTGTGTGCGCGTGCGTGCGTGCGTGCATGCATGTGCGTGCGTGGGGCGGTGCGTGCTGCATTTGTGAATTCCTTGAAAAAACAGGCACTCAAGAACAATAAATTCCAAATTTTATTATAATTAGCTTCTAAATGCTTTCTGACGTTTTAGACACATCACAGGTAAAGTATGGGGGCAGTGGGACTCCACTCATATAACCCCCTCCCCCACTACACCCTCCCTTATATACCTCTCGATTACCTTCCCACGCTATTTACTCAGCACATTAACCCTAATGCTTTGGTATCTTCACTGCTGAAATATTTTGCCCGCACAGTAAACTTCTTCAACTGACTGAAGAAGTCTGTTGTTCAGGTGAAACATTTTAGCAATAAAGATACTCAGGTGTTACACAGGTGTCTTATCAACTTGTTGATATTTAATACCACTATAATATGATAAAACTCATACAGGAGGGTCCCTGCTTATACAGCAAATTTTGGTTTCTGGGCTACCGCTGTAAAGCGAAACACTGTAAAGTGAAACATAGCTTTTTTTTTTTCACTTTCAAATGCATATAAAAGCCTGATAACATGTTTACTCTATCATATATTAATGAGCAATAAAGCTTTATAGTGAGTGATGAATATATTTATTTTAGGAAGGCTGAATAAAAAGAAGTATTGCAAAGCGTGGCCCTCCTGTATAAAAAGTAAATTTTGTTAGATACAATGTGAGAGAGGGTAGGAGTGAATAGGACTGTGAGAATAAGAGGAGACAGTTCAGTTGTTGCCTGCTTATACACATCTGTACTTCCCTCTACTGTACTTTCTGTTCTTTGTAATTAATATGTACAGTATATACAGCATTCATTACACCATTCACTGTTCAAACCCCCAAAATTAATATTGCTCTGAGGGTTCACTTTAAAAAAAAAAATCTGAAGTGCAAGAAAGCCTTTTTCTGAAGGTAATGACACCACAAGCACAAAATTTGATGGAAAATTTAGTGAATGTCATTTACAACAAACTTGGTTAGGCACTGTCTTGGATGATTAAGACTTAACTGGATTACACACACACACAGTTCAGACAGTACAGATGCATCTATTTCGTTACCTTCTCAATATTTGTCATATCATTAAGGTCTATGAAATATGAAATAATTACATGAAGGTTTACCTGAGGGTGAATTTGAGTTTACTGTCATCCACACTCCACACTGACACGGTTTGGTCCAGGGCTGAGCTGATGAATGTACCATCTTTGTACCACTTCATACAAAGCACCTGACAATAAAGATCATATTATTAGTATTGGAACATGTAGATATAAAACTTTTTACTTCAGTCTGTCTCGTTATGCAGAGAGACACTTATGTACAGTTCAGAACATTTATTAGAAGAAATGTTTCACCATGAGTAGCTAATCCAGAGATAACAAAAAAAGGCACAATACCGTGACTGGAACAATACACAAATAATCCACACATAGAAGAGAGGAGCTTACGACGACGTTTCGGTCCGACTTGGACAATTTACAAAGTCGCACTAACAAAAAGGAGAGGAGGAGGGAGTGTATATATAGGCCAACAGACATTGACAGGAGCAAGAGAGGTAGTGGTGGAGGAAGTAGTAATGGTAGTGGAGTCAGTCAAATAATACTAAGAAAGAGGAGCACTGCAAGGAAGCTAGGGGCCCACAGAGGGTAGGAGCAAGAACACAGAGGGGGGGAAATAATAATGAAGGACAAATACCCAAGGCAGAAGAAAGAAAACCCAAAGAAGAAAGGGGAAAAAAGAATCAGGTTAAGTCACAGGTGTTCTGAAGTTTGGAGCATTTTACAATGTACAGGTCTCCCTCAACATTCACATTTTCCACTTCTGCGGGCTTCGAACATTTGCGAATTCCCAGCCGAATTCCCAATCATATTTAAAATGTCATTACATATGTTAGGAATTGTGGTGGTGGCAGAGTTTGTTTGGAGACAGGACAGGATAGTCCTTCAATAGGACACTAATATCAATTCTATGGCTTGTTTATCTATCACAGTTCATCTAGTATGACATAATAAACAACATTAATAACACAGAAACATGATATATACTCTAGAATGAATAAAATGTCATTATGTCACGAGTGTTGTTGTGTTGGTGTTGGGTGTATAAGGACCACTGAGACGTAAGCCGTACATAGTGGTGGTGGAGGCAGTAGAGACTAGAGACGGCGGTGTTGTCAGTCGCCCTATATAACTCCAACAACATTGGAGGAGTTAGATTCGTGCTGTCCTTTTTCTATCGATTAATCGCTTAACTTACTTGCTACACTGTTAATGCTACACTTTATCACTGGCTGGTGCTATAGCCTTTATTGACTCGTGCTGCTCTAGTATCATACATATTGTAGAATCACTGAAGAAGGCACATTCTTCCCTCTCTCTTCCTCCTCCACTTTGGTACTCTGCTACGAGTTCTTTCTTGAATTCTATAGTCTTTTTCACCTTCTTTACCAAAGAGCTGGCACTAGTACAGTGGACCCCCGCATACCGTTGGCCTTACATAACGTTAAATCCGCATACCGCTAAAAAACCCGCTCAACGCTGTTCGTCTGAGACGCGTCTATGTGCGGCCTGAGCCACGCTCACATGTTCCGCCGGTGGCATTGTTTACCAGCCAGCCTCCGCGGTAACATCCAAGCATACAATCGGAACATTTCGTATTATTACAGTGTTTTTGGTGATTTTATCTGCAAAATAAGTGACCATGGGCCCCAAGAAAGCTTCTAGTGCCAACCCTACAGCAATAAGGGTGAGAATTACTATAGAGATGAAGAAAAAGATCATTGATAAGTATGAAAGTGGAGTGCTTGTCTCCGAGCTGGCCAGGTTGTATAATAAACCCCAATCAACCATCGCTACTATTGGTGGTACAGCTGCTGCTGCTGCTGTACCACCGTCAGCTGCTGCTGCTGCTGCTGTAGTACCGTCTGCTGCTGCTGTAGCATCATCTGCTGCTGCTGTAGCATCGTCTGCTGCTGCTGTAGCACTGTCAGCTGCTGCTGCTGTAGCACTGTTGTTGGTGTGGCTTATTGAGAATACCAAGAAACAATTAACCCCAGAGGATTTGCCACCCAGGATAACCCAAAAAAGTCAGTGTCATCGAAGACTGTCTAACTTATTTCCATTGGGGTCCTTAATCTTGTCTCCCAGGATGCAACCCACACCAGTCGACTAACACCCAGGTGAACAGGAAAAAATGCCTGGAACTAGTGCTCATATTGGTGAATTTAAAGCCAGCAAAGGTTGGTTTGAGAGATTTAAGAATCGTAGTGGCATACACAGTGTGATAAGGCCTGTTCTGGAAGAAAATGCCAAACAGGACCTACAGTACTCAGGAGGAAAAGGCACTCCCAGGACACAATGTCTCATCAGTCATTGCTGCATCTTCAATAAAGGTAAGTGTCATTTATTCTTCATTTAGTAGAGTAGTACATGCACAATATATATTGTGCATGTACTACTCTACTATTGTGCATGTATCCTTCTCTTTGTGTGTAGGAAAATGTATATTTCATGTGGTAAATTTTTTTTTTTCATACTTTTGGGTGTCTTGCACGGATTAATTTGATTTCCATTATTTCTTATGGGGAAAATTAATTCGCATAACGATAATTTCGCATAACAATGAGCTCTCTTGCACGGATTAATATCGCTATGCGGGGGTCCACTGTACAATATTTTATGATTTTTCATGTGTTTTTATGATTGTTCATGGTTTCAATAGGTTAACCCTTTCAGGGTCAAGAGGCCCTCTCCTAAACTTGTTCTCAGGGTAGAAAATTTTTTGAAAAAAAAAAAAAAAAAAAACTTATGAAATGATAATCTTTTTTCGATCAAAATGACACTAAAAGTATGAAATTTGATGGAAAACTTATGGAATTATGCTCTCACGAAGTTAGTGGTCTCAACAATATTTACTCATCGGCGATTTCACCCACTTTGAGCCCTATTTTTGGCCAATTCCAATGTACCAGTCGACAAAAATCATAACTATTTCGCTAGAACTCCACTTTTTCTATCAAATGAGTACAAGAAATCACCCATTTACTGATTTCAACTATCAAATAAAGTGGTCAGAAATTGGCAATTTTGTCAATTTCATACAAATTTCAAAAGTTGCCAATTTCCAAATAGGGTCCAGAATAAACAAGACAGACATTCCTGGCACTAAAATAACATTTTCTCTCTTCATTAGTCATGTCCTCAGGCCCCTCTTACATTTCTTTTGCTTTCCACTTTGAATTTTTATTCTCACAAAAAAAAAAAAAATAGAAGATTAACTGTTATGCATACTACTGCATTAGTGTAGAAATGGTATAAATAATATCAGCGCACTTGAGTAAGAATATCAGACTCACCAGTTGACGTGTATTGGACTCATGGCATGATTTGTTTAGTTTTGAACTTTGGCAAAAATCAAACATTTCTGTTTCTTTGAGCTCAATATCAAGGTACTTTTCATTGTGAAACCAATCAAAATCATCTCAATTTCTGTAATATGTCTTCCATTCTATAAAATGAGACTAGGGAAACTAGAATACAACCATAAATACCATAAGAAAATGCAGTCTGACTTTTTTTTTCTCATTATGCACTGTGTGCTGCAGGATTTTTTTTATATTGTGCACACTGACCACATAGACCCATTCTTTCATATGTAAGCCTACCAGCTTTCTCTCGCTAGATTTGAAGGTGCTAGAATTTAAGCATACTAGTACGGCACTAACCCTGGCGTGCAAGCTGTACTAGTACAGTACCAACCCTGAAAGGGTTAAGGAAGCAATATTGTTAGGCTAAGTAAATGCTATTATTATATTTCCCTACAATATATTTGGGCACCAAACATTAGCGATTTTTCAACTTTCGCGAGGTTCTTGATCCCCTAACCCTAGCTAATGTGGAGAGAGACCTGTAATGGGAAAGGAAGGCATCTACAGAGACAAAGCCAAGACTAAGATTCGTACAAGGAAAGTTGTGTATAAGGGAGGATTCAACCAAATGGTGAAAAGTTAGAAGTAGGGTAGACAGTTTTAGCAGAAGACCAGTCAATAGGATGACTGTGATCTCTGACTTGACAGAAAAGAGCATTGTTGGTGTTGGCAAGCCTAACACTACTTTTGTGCTCCCTAAGTCTGTCAAAAAGAGATCGGCAAGTTTCTCCAAAGTACTGAAGAGGACAGGAGGAACATGAAATAGAGTAGACACCAGGAGTATCTATAGAGGGAGGAGAGGTATGAACTAGATTAGTGTGAAGAGCGTTAGTCTGGCGAAAAGTAAGTCTGATGTCTAAGGAACGGAGAGAGTTGTTGAGATTAGAAAGACTGGAAAGTAAGGAAGGCAGAGGACAGGAGAGTTCCCAGGAGTGGAGAGTTTGGGAGAGAAGAAAGTCCATTTACCACGTGAGAAGGCAGAGTCTATGAAATGCGAAGGGTAGCCAAGATGGGATAATGAATTATGAAGAGTGGAAATTTCTGATTCAAGGAACTGAGGATCACAAATGCATAGGGCATGGAGAAAAAGGGAGATAAAAACACTTTTCTTGACTGAGGAAGCATGATAAGAAAAGTAGTGAATGTACGTGCCACTGTGCATAGGCTTGCGGTACACGGAAAAGACAAAACCTGTATCTGAGCGGTGGACATGAACATCAAGGAAAAGAAGCAAGGAATTAGATTCCCATTCAGCTTTAAAGTTAATGGAAGGGGCAAGATTATTAAGATTATCAAGAAATGGTTGGAAGAGACTAGAGTCATGAGGCCAAAGAGCAAAGATGCCATCTACATAGCGGAGCCAGAGTGAAGGGCGCACATCAATAGTAGGAAGAACAGTCTTGAAGTATTTCATGTACAGATAGCAAGAAGAGGAGATAGAGGAGAGCCCATAGCGACATTGAAAATTTGAGAATAATATTTACCTTGGAAGGAAAAGGAATTTGAATCCACACAAAGGCAGATAAGATCAAGGAAGACATCAGTAGGTATAGGGAGACAAAGTAACCCTTCATTGGCATTCTCTCTAAGAAAATTAAGGACATCATCAGGACGGACATTAGTGAAGAGGGACTCAACGTCAAGACTAAGCATCTTACAGGTCGGGAGAGAGTGAACCCGTTCGATGAAGTCTTGAGAGTGACGAAGGTGGGCAGGAGAAAAAGTACCAAGAAAGGGAGTGAGGGTTTTGGCCAGCCAAGAAACAAGAGAATAAGAAACAAGTATATTTATGGCAGGAGTCA